AAAAGTAAAGGTAGGTTCGTATATGTTTTTTTTTATGTTATTGAGATACTCTTTGTGGTCATTGCAATGTGATTGTTTACTTTTTAGTGATTTTTTTTTTAAGTGAACCTTTATTGTTTAATCATTATTTAATATTTTTTTTTTTTTTATCACTTATGACAGCTAATGTTACTTTTTACTTACAAAGTTACAGTACTAATTGTCACAGTGTACAGTTCGTCCCAAATTAGAATTTACTTTTGTTATTTCATTTCAATAGTTTTACGTATTTTTATATATTTTTGTATATTTTTATATATTTTTATATATTTTTATATATTTTTATATATTTTTATATATTTTTATATTTTTTTTATATTTTTTACTTTCCTATCTGTATACAGATATAAGGAAAGTATAGGAATCATGATTTTTTTCGACCTCGAGTTTTCGACGGATTTTTACTTACAAATTGTAAGTTTACATCCACAATTTTTGTAGATGAGCACTGATGATGGCAAATAAGCCGAAAGCGCTTTGCATTGATTAATATAAAAAAGTTTTGCACGAAATACAAGTTTTTCCTTTTGAATTTTTATATTTTATGGAATATATCTGTTATTTATGTTTGGAGAAGAAAATTGTTCAAATAAAAGTTACTTCTAATATTATTATCTATAATTTTTGTTCTATACAAAATTTTCCTAAAATGGTCCGTATTCGAGAAATTTGACAAAATGTAAAAAAAAAATATTTTTTTATAAAAATTGTTTAAATAAAAGTTGTTTGTAATATAATTCTCTATAATTTTTATCCTATACATAATTTTTTTAAAATGGACCGTATTCGAGATATTTAAGAAAATGTGTAAATTTCGAATTTTGAAGAAAACTCAAAAACGGATAAAGAAAAAAACATTAAATTTTAAACTTAAGGTTTATTTCGGCCTGACGTGAAATGATTAGATTTTGGACAAAGTCGGAACATCTAGGGGGGTACTTTATTGGAGGCCGTTTTTATATTTTATGGAATATATCTGTTATTTATGTTTGGAGAAGAAAATTGTTCAAATAAAAGTTACTTCTAATATTATTATCTATAATTTTTGTTTTATGTCAAAATTTCCTGAAATGGTCCGTATCCGAGAAATTTGACAAAATGTGCAAAATTCTGATTTTTATGAAAATTGTTGAACTAAAAGTTGTTTGCGATATCGATCTCTATAATTTTTGTTTATACATGATTTTTCTAAAATGGACCGTAATGGAAAAGTTCTAAATTTAAATTTTTTAGTATTTTCATTTTCAATGAATATCTATAGAAAAATGTTTCGAGGTAGATGTAGGTGGACAATGTATATATTTAGTTTATCCTCTAAACATTTATAGAGATGCTGCAATAGGTTGTACAAAATAACCGGAAAAAGCCTATAATAACTAGATAGGAAAGTCATGTGTTGGACACATCAGGTTTTTTTTTTTCTGGAAACTGAAAGGAATTAAAACTTTAAAATATAGGTATATCTAGTTAATATTACCTAATTTATTTTGCCAAATATTTAATTTTTAAACAAAATTACTTTTTGAAATATCCTTGTCCGAAAATTATAAAGGCTGCTGCATTCACCTTAATATACCAACATACAGGGTGTTTCAAAATTCATGGGACAAATTTCAGGAGGTGATTGTTCGTATGAAATTAAGATGGGTGTTTCCTATAACCACCCCTTTCCGAGATATCACCCTTAAGAGGTGGTGACTAAAATTGAGTTTCTATTTTTTTTTCTAAAATTTCAGTAGAGCTAGAAACTTGAAATTCTGTAATTTTCGTGCACTCGCAAAGGACTAACCACGGTTATTTTTTCAATATTCCTATTACATTATAGAGGGATGAAATTAGCAACCCTTACTTTATTTCATATCAAAACTTTTTTTCGAGATGAATTTTTATGAAATAATTTTGTAACTTGAAATACTTGTTTTATTTAAAAAAAAATTCCAAAACCAATACTTTCATAGAAAAAAAAACTGTTTTCCACTCAATTTATTAAAAAAAATGATAAATTGGGCTGTTAATTTTTTTCTCTGAAGCTATTGATTTTGGGAAAAAAATTCAAGAATAAAAAAAAAATTAAATAAAACAAGGATTTCATAAAAGTTCATCTCGAAAAAAAGTTTTGATATGAAATAAAGTAAGTGTTGCTAATTTCACCCCCTATAATGTAACAGAAATATTGAAAAAATACCCGTGGTTAGCCCTTTGCGATTACAGAATTTCGAGTTTCTAGCTTTACTGAAATTTTAGAAGAAAAAAAAATAAAAACTCAATTTTAGTCACGACCTTTTAAGGGAGTTATCTCGAAAAGGGGTGAGCTGAGGAAATTTTGTTATAGGAAAGACCCATCTTAATTTCATACGAGCAATCAGCTCCTGAATAATTTTGTCGCATGTATTTAGAAACACCCTATATATTACACATTTGTGCATTTTTACCTTCCAGAATTTTTCATTTCATAAATTAACTAAAAACTAAATTAAACAAAAACCTAACAACGCCTCAACAACAAACTAAGACGATCACAATAATTTTGCACCTCTTCAAAAACAACTATTTTTCGACACAGGAATTAACAAATTTAACTAAACAGCAGCTACCCTTTTAACCACGGGCTTCATAGACTAGCAGCGTTGCCATATTCACTGGCATCATTGTTTTAATAGAATTAGTATTGGAATGAAAACTATGTTAATCTTCGGTCCTGTTTAAAATTGGTGATCTTTTTGAAAAAAAGTTATTTAGAAAATAGTTAAGATATTTGTTATAGAATTACGCTAAAGAGCCAAAAAATTAAATTTGTTAAAAAGTTGAAATTTTTGTTGTTTTTCTTTAAAAATATAAGTTTTTCGCGATTTAGCGTCATTCTTGGTTCATTTTTAGAACGATTGGCCTGAACCATGTTTTTTACAAATTTTTTTAACTGCCTCAAATGTAAACTTGATTTTTGGCGGAGGAGCGCCTGTCATGTTTGCTCTTAATATCAATATCAAGAAGAAGTGATGATAATAACCTTTTATGAAATGTTTGCATTTGTTTTATATACACTCATTTTTGCACCCTTTCTCCCAAGAGTTGATTAGTAAAATTGTGAATTCTCAATATTTATCCTAAATCCCTAAAAAACCTAAAATTAAAGATTTTTCACTTTTAGGTTTTTTAAGATAATTAAATAACCTGGAATTTAACGTTTTTTCAATTAATTTACAGAGAACTGGTATCACAGAAATGGGTCTATAGTTTTCAGCTTTTTTAAACAAGGGAGTTACTCTAGCAATTTTTAGGTAATCTGGAAAGACACCTGTATCTAAACAGGAGTTTAAGAGGTGCACAATTTGATGAGATACTTCCTCACCAGCAAATGTTAATGTCTAAGTATAGTGGATTAGCTAAAGTTGTTTCTGCAATATTTGCAAAGAAATCATTTAGTTTATCTGGTGGTATATCAATTTTGTCAACAACTTTAATTCTTTGAGCTAGGTATGTCCTGGGGTATGTCGTCTGTCTACACCAAGGTCTACACATAGATATTAGCATCATTTTGTATTAATAAAGTAAATAATGCATGTACCTAATTCTATTTGATGATAGGCAAAATAGAAATTAAAAACATGGTTTAACTATAGTAACTTTGGATACACATATTGGGTAAACTGGTCACAGGATTATAATAAAATTTTGCTCAGTTATATACTGAACTTTTGTTATTGTAGAAATGTAAAAATTTATGAGGCAGAAGGTTTTATAACACAGGGTGTTGTACAAGAAACTGTTTTTCTATTTTTTAAAGTTTCTGCAATTAGTTTAACACCCTGTATGACATAAAGTGACAAGAAGTAATTACTTAAACTATATTTTCATGATACCATGATCATTGTTGATATTTTTAATGCTGTCAGAAAAAAATGATTTTTTTTTTAAATGTGAAGATGTATTGACATATAAAAAATAATTTTTTTACTAAACCACCCTGTAATTAACCAATTTCTACAGTAACTCTTTAAAAAATATTAGTGTCAAATAATCTACAACAATTTCGAATAAAACAGGTGTGTTATGAGAAATATGCTTATAAAAAAGTGGCATTTCCAGTGTTTAATACCCTGTACCTTGAAAACTTAGTCATAGAATTGGTTTGGGCCAATGGACACTTCTTGTCAGAGCATCGAGTTCTACTACATAAATTAACATTTCAGTAAATTTGATGGAAAGCCCAAAAGAAAAGTGCCTGGTCCTTTATTTGTTATAATTTTAGGATGTTTTTCATAATTGTCTAAAATCAAGTGCCAATGTTCACTGCGGACTTTAATTTTTTTGTAATTCAAAACCCAATCTTTTAAACACTTAATAACTAAAGACAATCTATATTAGCAAATATTTAGACTCTAATTTAAACTAAAAATTGTTTTTGTTTTGGACACCATTTCATTCTGTGCTGTTATTTTTTTTTGTATCTGTCAACTTTTTAAGGAATGAACATTATTATTTTAAAATATTTGACTGCTCTAGTTAACTGATGCTTTTCTATATGTACTGGACAAAATATAAAATGAAATGTAAGGTTAATGTTAAAATAATATACTTTAAATATATAATTTCTCTTTCCGACTCGAATGCAAAGCAATTTTTTTTTCTCTCTAATATAACACGTCGAAAGGTGTCTCTTGGAATCGATCGCTTTGGCATGAAATGTTAAAACAATGCGATAAAAAGGGATGTTGACATGGCACACAGAGTATGATTCAGGTAGCATCTATAAAATAGTCATTTTCCACATGTCACAGAATTAGCCCCCAGAATATAAAAACATATAGCAATTATATTTATCAGAATAAATCTTCAGTTTCATAGATATTTTTATGACAAAATGATTACTTAGATGCTATATTTGTAATACAGATGTAGAAAATGATAAATAATGAACAAAAACCTGTCATTTTTTAAAATATGAATGTCATATTACTTACTATTTTGGCAGATAGGACATGCATACTTCCTCTTTTTCTTTAAAATACCTTTAGTGGTATTGTCTAACGATTTGCTGCTATGTCCCAAATCCCATGTACTTTCTATTTTCAAAATTGGCAAGTCATACTCATTAAATTCTTGCTTGATATCAGTAATAACATGGCTAGCGTTTTCAAGTTCTTGTTTAATATCTGTCTCTGTAACATCGAAAGTGTAGTCAAGTTCTTGTTTAATATCACTGATATCTATCTCTTTAACATCACTAGTATTCTCAAGTTCTTGTTTGACATCACTGATATCTGTATCTTTAACATCGCTAGTGTTTTCAAGTTCTTGTTTAACAGAATTAGGAAACATTTGCACGTTCTCGAAAACTGTATGTTCGGGATGACAATATTTGATTTGCTCTGTTTGACCAAAAACATTTAGTGGTTCGGTTTTAATATATCCCTCAAAAATATCGGAGGGATTTTGTTCTTGTTTTACGTTCATCCTTTTAACAATTTAAAATTTGATATTATTACCAGGGCTGGTATATCTAAGGGGGTCGCGACATAGACCCAGTAAATGGATGAGGGGGTGACTGAGGCTAGGGGGGAAATAGTAGTCAGCTTAAGTTGGCAACACTTTTCTGATGTTCGTTTGAACGAGCATCGTGCATAATTATGTCAATATGGTGCAAGTGGAATGAACCACTGTTTTCCTCGTAGTCCTAGTCCAATGTCGAATTGAAACTAAAAACATTTTGTACTTTTTTATATACCAAATTATGCAATTTGTTTCCACTTTATTTTAATGTTACATGAATAGGTACATGCGTTTGTGCTGTGGTAAATAAGTGTTCATGTGAAAATTATATCTTAAACTACATTGTGACTGCACGCATCTCGAAACTGAATGCTGTAAATCCAGGATTTAAATCTTTTATAGTGTTGCTTGGGATAAATTGTAAAAAAGGTGTTGGACAAAACCATTATTAAAGAGAAATTAGTTATCATCAATAAGATATTTTGTAGTAGCTGGTCTCTATAAATAATAAACTTGAAAGACTAAATTAGTAGTCACTTTTACACTAGAAGTAAAAACAAACAAAAATGTGTGGTTGAGACTAATTTGTGTATTTAATAAAAACATATTTAACATAAAAGCAGGTGTTATTTGAAATGTTTTATTTTAGTTTAATAATCTTTATAAATTGTGGGTACATTTGATCCGAATCTTGCAAATACTATAAAATGCATATGATTCTATATGGTTAGTATTGGAGTAGAAGCACAAAAGTTTTGAATAAAAATATATTCTTTAAATACAATGTTCACTAGATATGCTAATTTTCTATTTGAAACCATACATGTTTTCTATTATAGTTTTCATACGTTTATAATCCTGGAGATACTGGAATATTTTGCTTGATTACTAAACTTTGGATGTTTTTGTTGTAGTCTGCTGTTAACACTATTGTCCTGAAAAATTAAAAAAGCTAGACAAAGGTTTGTCCAACTCTTTTGTCAGCTTTGTTAATCTATGCTGTTATTCTGCATGTAGACATTTTTTACTGGAGATTTTCTCTAAGAACTGTATTCAATTTCAAATTTCGGCCAGTTTTAGGAAAGTACTTCTGTTGTAAAGGTATTTCAAAGCCATCCTTTGTGAGATGTAGACAACAAATACATGCTAAAATGTATAGAAAACAAATCGCAAGATATTACACAAAATTATTTAAATTAACTAAAAACATACAAATGAAGTGAATAATACCTACCAACAATTTTAAAAGACCTAAAATAAATAGACTTAAGGGACTGGAGCTCTAAAAAAGGGAGCAATAATTTGTTATGCATCATCTATAAGAAAATTGTCTTCATCTCTTCAATTACCTTTTAAAATAAACAAAACCAAAACAACACAAAATTGAATGTGATCTACTTTTCCCGACGTATTCTATGTACATCTGAGATTAATAATTTATTAAATTGAAATATTTTATCCTAAAAAATATGGGCATTTTATAATGGAAATGTCATTTAAAAAATGACAGATTTTTTTTCTTATATTGGTAAACCTGGCGACTACAAGTTGCCACGATGCCAGATCAATGGCGACTACTATGTGACTATTATTTCGAAAAAAATGGCGTCCAAAATGGACTCCTATGTCGCGACCCCCTTAGATATACCAGCCCTGATTATTACAAAATAAACAAAACAAGCCACAAAACAGACTGTCAGTTCTGTCACACTCACTGGAGTGCGTTTAGAAACCCCGCACGGCGCGTCTCACCACATACATTAGAATAGGGTCCAGACGCGCCGTGCGTGGTTTCTAAACGCACTCCTGTACTGTCAGCAGTCAATGTTACGTTGACATAAATCAATGCGTTCGGTATAAACAGAACTCAGCTGAGCCGGAGTCCAGGGCTGGAACTCTATGTCATGTAGAATTCTACTTATCGCTTTCTACAATGGAATCGATTACTTTCTTTTGTGATAAATACGTTATCAACCGCACGGGAAATATCGCAATGTGGTTTCTTATGAAACTAGTTATCCTGTAGTAAGTATATACTCGTTGGTTTTCCGCTATATTACACAGAGTGCCACAAAAGAATCTATTGTAGAAAGCGATAAGTAGAATTCTACATGACACAGAGTTCCAGCCCAGGGTTGTTCTTGTCATTACTTTCGTAATAAATCCATTACTTTTGGCTATATCAAACTAGCGGGTACTCTGTGGCGGCACCATACAAGACCTGGTGGGTTTTTTGTAGCTTTTTTGTTACGCTATTTGCGAATTTGTAGCTTTGCCCAGGTCCGAAAAAACAGCTGATCCGCTAGCTTGAATTTCCATAAATTCCATAGTAGCGGCACAGATTCAGACCCAGCTGGTTTTTCGTAACTTTTTTGTTACGCTAGTCTCCCTTTTGTAGCTTGTACTGAACCTGAGAAAAGCGCGGATCCGCTAACTTAGCGGATATTTGTAGCGGCACCAGCCCGGACCTGGCTCAATTTTTGTAACTTTTTTGTTACGCCTGTCTCCATTTCGTTGCGAGGCCTGAACATGAGTAATAATCGTTTCTCCATGAGCGTGAGAGAAAAGTGCGTTAATTTAAAATCAAGTTTCGGCATCTACAAGTAATATCATTGTATAAAGAACTAGTTTATAAATACTGCAGAACGATTGGTTTAAGGAAATCATTCAAAAAAGATGTAAGAATATTCTTGATTCAACAAAAGTATAAATACATAAACAACACTAAAAAACATTTAAAAACAAATGTCCGATTTTGCGTATATATCTAAATTTCTCAAAAATATATTGGATGGAAGATGGCCATAATTCGTGAAATGCAATACTGGTGCCGTCTAGCAACAAATAGTCACACTATCGAGTTGCACATATTAGTTGTAGAGGCCGAAACTTGATTTTAAATTAACGCATTTTTCTCTCACGCTCATGGAGAAACGATTATGACTCATGTTCAGGCCTCGCAACGAAATGGAGACAGGCGTAACAAAAAAGCTACAAAAAAGTTACAAAAATTGAGCCAGGTCCGGGCTGGTGCCGCTACAAATATCCGCTAAGTTAGCGGATCCGCGCTTTTCTCAGGTTCAGTACAAGCTACAAAAGGGAGACTAGCGTAACAAAAAAGTTACGAAAAACCAGCTGGGTCTGAATCTGTGCCGCTACTATGGAATTTATGGAAATTCAAGCTAGTGGATCCGCTGTTTTTTCGGACCTGGGCTAAGCTAAAAATTTGCAAATAGTGTAACAAAAAGCTACAAAAAACCCGTCAGGTCTTGAATGGTGCCGCCACAGAGTGCCCGCTAGCTTTATATAGCTGAATTTGTAGCTCTATGTACGAGGTCGGACGCGGAGAGCACGTAGCTGCGTATCCGATATCGGACATGGAGCCACTGCCAATAAAATTAATAAAATAGGACAATCGATTGTAAAAATTAATCGATTGGTCCATAATATGTTGGTATGAGTGGTAAGTTCCAATGCCAATGATATCTTAAATATAGATTGTATTATTTTCTTTCAAAATGATTGTATATATAACAATAATTGCCGCGTTTGAGAATCCACATCGGATGCATCTAAGATGTTGTGAATTTTTTATCACGTTATAGAAAATTAGATCTGAATGTAGATGTAATAAACGCTCTAGACTTTATTGGTCACGTGATAAAATGTCAATGACAAGTTAGAAGCACAGCTTATACAATACAGCTCCACAACTCCGTGTCGGCGTCTTTGATCTGGCGGTCGAGAACCAAGCAAGACGGAATGGTGCTATCTCTGTTAGATTAAAGGGAAAAGTCGGGCCCGGATTAAGCAATTTTTTTATTATTGAAAAAATTGAAAACCTTGACGTAATAAGGTTGGTTACATGCGATGTTAATTAAGTTTTGGGAAATTAAATTTTTAATTTGTTTTAAATCTGTCAAATATAATTAAAAAAATTATTTAAATATAAATATTACGAAAAATAGCACATCTTTCGGATTAGAGGTAAAATAATTTGTATGTGGCTAGTAAAATCCTCGTTAACAAATGTTTTGAGCTAAAACAGTCACTTCACGACAAATTGTGACTTGGATCCTTTTTACACCAAGGGCTTCAATTGTTAAAGAAATGTGTCACGCTCATGGATGCAAATCAAGTGGTACCCCGTGTCTCTGGCAAGTGTTACTCTTCGCGCAAAGCGTTTATACCTAGATAAACGAATGCTTCGACTGAGGTCTGGGAACTCTATGGTATTTTGGAATTATAAAGAATTTGTGCTTTTATTTTAAAAATATTGGTTATATTTAGATGTATTCTTATTAATTGAAATACAGATTTGTAGAAGTAATACTTTAACAGTTTTTATTAATATAATATATTCAATTTTTATCTGACCATACCGAAGTAGGGAATTTTAAAACTTTATAGTAATGTGAAATTTGAATTACAATATTACACGATATTACATCATTAGTACTTATTTTAGGTAGGTACTAAATTTGTACTTGGAGAAAGTAATATCGATTTTTACAAGAAAACTTGAAAAGTAAATTAATTTAGTTCTTATTTCTGATGTAAAACTTAAACCAAGAAAACAAATAAATTGTAGTTTGTTCAACAAGGGTGGATATGATAGCCATATCACACAAAGACGAAGTTTGAGCACGACGTCGTAGGCGGAGTACTCAATCGTCTGATTGTGATGTGAACAATCCACTCGATATGGTCAGTATATTTTTTCTACGACCCACT